TGCAGCAACCGTGTGTGTGTGTGTGTGTGTGTGTGTGTGTGTGTGTGTGTGTGTATGTGTGAGAGAGAGAGTGTGTGTTTTCCCTCTCAGTGATCATAAATGCTCACATGACAGAGGTCAGCTGGGTATCAGACCGGGAATTCACTACCATCGCTTACGTAACAACGGACCTGGTTACAAAACAGTCCTGCTCTGACTGCGCAACACGCAGCATCACATTAATAAAAAGCTCCCGTATGTGTGTGTGTGTGTGTGTGCATGATTTATAAGAATAGAAGATAGAGACTGTGTCTGCAGTTACATATGGAGGATTGTAGCTTCCATTGTTGTTTGTGTGGCTGATAAATGCTTTACAGTTTATTTTTCAGATCAATCCTAACATTTCCTTCTGAATCAAATGCTATCTGTAGTAGTTACTAAACTGTGTTTTAGACAAATGTTGTGTTGTCTGAAGTTAGCTATGGAGCCTCATCACACTCACAGGGTTCATATTACGAGCAGTTGAAAGGTGCAGGAGTGAGAGAGGAGAGCAAAGATCACGGACAGACTAACAGCGTTACTGACTTAAAAACCCTTCCTCCCCTTGACTCATCCTGAAACTGAAATCAGGGCTGATTAATGGGTACAAAAAGTTGGGGTTGATTGTTGTTTCTAAAATGAAACTTAACCCCACTGACAGAAACGGGCCAGACTAAATATAAGAAACAGAACTCAGGATAAAGCAGAACTTTCTAACAGCAACACAAACTCAAACAAAGTGAGTGTGAATTTGATCTACAGCAGACCGCTTATGAAGCTAGGTGTAACCATCAACTGAGTTTCAATCAGGAACTACACTAGTGAACAGGTCAGTCACATAATAACTATGAGTCAATCATATGAAACCCAACAGGTGTCTGTGCATAAAGGGAAATTCCAATACTTTCCAACCTTAACCTTATTGTGTTCACATATTTTGATATTTCTAAATGGCTGAAAGGTGAAGTTTCAACAATCTTAAAAATCAGTGCTGATACTGCCCATGTTTAAAATAACAACTCAGTTTCCGATACAGATCTTTTTTTTTTCCAGTCCATCTTCAAACTTCTTTGGCTGTGTCCGAAACCACATACTTTCATACTATTGAGCATGAAGTATGATCCGAAATCAGAGGATGCAAATTTGTGTAGGCGAGAAATACCCTGATGTTTACGAGATGTTTACACCAAACCGCCCCACAATGCACTGCAGCTCTCAGACGGTCTCCTGGCAGAGTTTGCCCACCTGCTAGCGGCTTAAAATAAAAGTTCAGTGCTGAAATACATTTTAAATGTTGCCAAATAATATCAAAATGACTACGTAGCTGTATTAGTGATGAACATTTGCATGTAGTTGATGAATTATATTTACGGACGGGCAGTCATGCTAGCTTGATGCTAGCTCATCGAAGAGAGCTCGGACCGGAAATACGTCAAATTACCTGTGTTTTAGTATGTTGCTAATGGCCTTGGTATGCAGTATTTTATTATTGTATGTATTTAGTAGCTATAGGCAGTATGTAGTACGCAATTTCAGACACAGCCTTTGTTTCTGTTTTTCAAATGAGACATGAGATCTGAAATTGTTGCGAGAAGACCCTCATCTTAAAACGTAACTAAAACATGTCACGGATTTCACGGCATCCGACATTGCAGATTTTTTCATGTTTGTTCATGAAAACAAATCAGAGTTTCCCCAACTTCTTCTGTCCTATAAAAACCTCTTCTCCCAATCAGCGGTTTAGCATACTAGCTCGCTTGCTAGATTTAAAATGATGCCAAACAACAGATAAACATTGACCACACCACATTATTTGTTGATGGGCCGATAACTGTTACACTAACATCGGTGCATTCATAAAAAAAAAAGTTTTAGGGAGTGTACCAGTCTGCAAGATTGCTGTTTTAGTCAATGAACTCTAGTGGCTGTTCTTAGCATCAAATAAAGCATCTTTGGTTTATCTCTGTAGGGATCTTTTCTGTAATGATGTCAGACATTTAGATTTATAATTTGAGCTCGTCAGTGAGACAAACAAGGACCTCGGTCTCTATAACATAGTACGGCTAGTGAAAAAGTGGAGAGAGGGGAGGATAACATGCATCAAACAGGACCTGGAGTCGGACCTGCAACCAGTGTGATGAGGATTACAGCCCCCGCACTCTGTGAACTGAACTAAACTGGCAACCAGAAATAAGGATGTTTAGTGGGCGTACTTTGATTCCCCCTCAAAGATTGCATTGCAGCCCCTTCAGTCTGTTTTATGGCTGTGAGCTGAAGCAATCTACTAGAGAAATTGCAAAAGTTTTTGTACCAATTAGACCCTGACTTATGTAAAGAAAATAGCTAAGATAGATCCACTGTTTGCAAAGTATTTACACCACACATAAGCACAGTACAGTAAGTGACACTATCACACATTCAGTACTAAGCAATCTATATGCAACTTATATCCCTGGTCATTGTCACAAACAGACTCACTCCCTCTTACACACACACACACACACACACACACACACACACACACACACACACACACACACTTAAGTCTATAAATAAAAGGCAGAAGAAGAGAGCAGATTTAGGTCAGCAGACGTGTCTACATGAGCGCTGCACTCTTTCCACCGAGCCTCTACAGGGAGAAAACACAGCCTGACACTCCCACTGACGAAGCCTCAGAAGCTACACAGATCCACATCATCCATACGTCTGCTTCCTGGGTGCACAGAAGCATTCACCTTATTACTGCAGTATTCGTCTTATTACTGCAGCATGCTCTGTATCCTAGCAGAACGAGCGCCTTTTTTTCCCACAGTGAACACCTTGTTACAGCAGCACGGGCTTCAGTGCTGCAAGTGTCATCATTTTTCCTGCAGGCAGCTCCCTTATTACTTAAGTATAATCCGTGTGAATGCAGTATTACTGAGCGTGAATCCTCCCTGCATGCACTATGATCCATATTACTATTAATTCTTATGGTTTTCATCTTCTGGAGGAATGCAATAAAGCATACCGTGCTGCATCCACCCCTCACAGAGGCTGCCGATGCAACACAACTAGCTTTCAAGTCCAAGCTGTAACAGTTGACACAGGCTGTAGCAGTCCTGACTTCTCTTATGTGCAGCACATTTTCCCACCAAAAGCTTCTGAGAGGATAAGAATGATTTTGTTACTTTCTTTCCTCCTGTTGTTGACAGCAGATTTGGATGAACTGCTAGTTTCTTAAACTAGAACATCCTCAAACCATCTTAGACTGTGGAGAAAGGGGTGAACAGTGTTGAGTCATCATTACATCTCTTACGAGAAATGTTCCGATAAAATGAAACTGTGACATTTAAAAAAAAAAATATTCTCTGGACTCTAACAAGAGTTTTCTGTGGCGGGGCTGCCCCCACTCTGCAATCGGCTTCCCTCTCTTTCCTGTGGGTATCCGCTCGTGCACAGTATATAGCAGCCGTATAACTCTGCATCACATCTAGCTGCACTTCACATGAGCTTCAGCCTCTGATCAAACAGGCCTGTGTGGTCTGAAGTGTGAGTCTTTGTTGTGGGTGCTGGTCCAGACACAGTAAGGAGGCTCTGAGGTGACCTCCATGCAGCTTTAGGGTCGCAACACGGGAGCAACAGAGTGAGGAGGAGGAGGAGGAGGAGAAGGTGCTGACCGTCATTTTAAGAGCAGACTGCTGTGGTGCACGTTACCAAGCAGAGCCCCCACCATGCACTCACCGCAACAGATAGACTGACTGAGACGAGAGCACCTCACAACTACACTGCAGAAACACACTTTGAAACTTCTCAGCAGGTTAACATGAATACAGGATTAAAGGACAAAATTAGGACTTGCAGGTCGCTTTTGTATAAAGATGAAGTCTATGTTTTCTTTGTGCTGCAGGCACATGTTAACACACTTAAATATAGCCATAACATAACTTTAAATACTGTATCTGTTCCCTATTAGACAAAACTAGTGCTTGGAAATGGTTTTGGTGAAATCCTAAAGTCTGTGTTTTCTATGTGCTGCTGTTTCAGTGTGTAAGAACATATCTTGTAAGCAATATATTTTGTTACATTTTGTCCTGACTCTCAGAAGTTCTTGCATTGTTTTTTTTTATTAAATAAGCTGTTAGCTATCATGCAAATTATGTTCATTAATTTCCTAAGATTGCACAAAAAATGGTAGCCGACGTTTACAGCCTTCTGCATGTTGAAAGGACTGGGGACAAATACAAGTTGCAGATCACACTGTTCTGGTTGCATAACAAAAGTAAACATTTTTTTCTTCGCAGATTTTACTCCTGAAGTTCTGTGTTCATTGTACTCACAATGAAAAAGCTTTCCTTAAATGTGACGTACAAATCTGAATATATAGGCTTGTTTACAGTAGGGCAATGCATGGTTGTGTATTACATTGTAACCCCTGTATCGTGATGTGTATCACGTCGTTTTCTTACCTATTAAAGGTCCATGTGTTCAAATATGTGCAGGTAACATTAGTCTGTACTTGAGGGAGTCATTTTAAATGTAGGTCATTTAAAGTGTAAAGATGTAAATAAACTCGCCGATATTTTTCATTTACGATTAGTATTTATAGTAGGCGTGTGTGCTCATGGGTGAGTGTATTTAGAGTTTTAAAAAAAGTTCATCAGACTTTTTGTCCGTGGTGATAAAGTGGAAAGTGTCGGCGCTGCCTCGGCTCTGTAAACTGGAGGGGTTTCTCTGCATACTGAGATAAAGAGGGTCGCTGGAAGTCTACAGGCGGACATTGCCCATTTCAAACTTTTCTTTTTTTTCAACGCAGACCCCCACTGCCCCAGCGCACTACCGCTGAAACACCTACAGCCTCCTCCGCCGTGACTATTACTCATTAGAAATAGGCTCCACTGCCTTGTAGTAACCTTAATGAACTTCCTCGGCGCGCTTCACTCCAAAAAGACATTTAAAGAAATAGAAGCAGCGCCAGACATTTAAAGAAATAGAAGTCTTACCACATCCAGGTCCGCCGGGCTTCGGAAGAGAAACATGGGGGGATTTAAAACAGTCCTGTAGGCTAAGAGAAGAACAAGCCGTCCTCGCTCCGGGAGACTCTGACACACAATGGCGCTGATAGGAGGAGAAATCTGCCTCCGCGCACAGGAACGCTGCTGCCTTCACGGACTGTCGGATAATATCTGCGAGGTCGGCTGCACGTGTGCCAACAAACCCGCAATTCTTGCTATTTAAAGCGAAACACCGGACAAGATAATCAGTGTGACACAAATTACACCCACATACCCACAGGTTAACATTAATACATGTGAAAGAGTCATTATCAACATTTAAGACAGGGTAATGTGGTGGATATTTCACTTAAATAAAGAGCATTGGTTGTTCTAAATATAGATTTAGTAGCTACAGAGGTGGGGCATGAAGAATTCAGCGTGCATTTTACATTAAATCAACCTTTAATACAGTTTTAACCCCCCAAAAATGTAGCCTTTAAGGTTTATCTACAATTAATTATTTCAGAAATCTTGTGCGCACTTTTGGTTTGATCCCTTCTTCATAAAAAATACACGTTGTAGCATTAGTTTTGTAAATACGGCTTAATTACATTGACGGTATGAGCACGTTTTGTTACGGGTGGTAAATTTACGAGCAGCACGCGAAGGCAGCACTCGAGCTGAAACCGAGCAGCTGCCCCGGAGAAGTGGCGTCGTCAACTTTGCTCCGCCCACTCACTCACTCACTCACTCACTAGCGCGCGCGCACGCACACACACACACACACACACACACACACACACACACACATACACGCGCACACACACACACACACACACACACACACACACACACACATACACGCACACACACACACACACACACACACACACACACACACGCACACACACACACGCACGCACACACACACACGCACGCACGCACGCACGCACACACACAAACATTTTGAAACTGTAAAGTGGAAACAATGTTCAAGTTTAAAACTGTAAGTGACTGAACTGAACACCTTTTAACTGAGTGATGTAATGACAACTTAAATAACATTCAATTGTGGTTATTTTTTTAAATGTACACTGCAGGAGTCACATAAACGGCCAAGGGACTGTTGGTGCTGATTGGCTGGTTATTTATGCCCGTGCGACCCGGCAGCAGCAGATGGCAGAAAGTTGTCCAGTAAACTCAAACAAAACGCTCCCATGAACACAAAAACACCAGTGCGCAGTGGAGCATCCTGGGGCAGAAAATGGGCATCTGAGACCGTTTGTGCCCCTGATGCCCCCTGCTGCACACTCACCCAGTTGTGCACTGATACACTCACAGCCACAATACAAGTCCCCCTGTTTATTCAGACTAGCTCTCTGTTCTCAGGACAGGCTTTGATCAACCTTCTGTCACAAGTTTTTCCATCCACTGGGTTTCAGTGTTTATGCCTCTAAAGTTGGCACAGAAACATTTGGTTTCTCCTCTTGTGGGGGGTGCATGGTCTACAGAACTTTAGGTCATCATGGTGCACTTAAACCGTCCAGAGAAAAGTCCAATGCCCTGTTGCCCCAGCTGAGTTATGTCGTAGCGTCCACATTAAACCCTACGCTGAAGCTAGATATGCTCTAACTTTAATTGTGTCATGTAGATGTTGTCAGCACTGAGACAAAAGATTCATCTTAACTAGTGGAGCGTAACGTCCAAATTTAGCAAAATATTGTCGCTGAAATTACGTTTTCACTTCTTGTGGCCAATCGGTGACAAGCATTCTTTAATTCAGTGTTCATTAAATCTTCAATCTTCACCTTAAACATAAGGTAGGCTAATGTAATGGTAGAGTGGAGAGTGAGAACACAATTACAAATGAAAGTCATCATTTCTGAAGGATCACATAAAACCCTCTGCTCCTCCTCATCCTTCAAGTTATCCCATCTTTAGATACACCATGACAACCAGATTTGACCAAGGACTTTACACCTATGGAGCCAGGTGTCAAATTTAATAACTGATGCCTATGTTGGGACTTTTTCAGCTGGTACAACATCTAAAATTAAACAAAGCGACAAACAGGCTGATGAATTTGCCAGGATCCCAAACAGGATTTGATTGAGGTTTATATTCTCTCATATTTCATATTTCAGCAAAACAGAACACACACCAGGACAGCCTGTTGCAGCATCGATCGTCCTCCATATTTATTTTTCTACTGAAGTCAAGTTTGATCATTCGAGGTCCTGTGAGATCTCACTGTGAAACCTTGGCTACAAACAGCAGGTGTGTGTGCTCTCACGGTCTGACAAATCATCGTTAAAATTCTCCTTATATCTGTCGTCTTTTTCAAATCCTTTAGGATTTGAAAAGTGTCTAGTGAGTAGCCAGAAGTCATCATAATCAGCTGAAGGTTGTCATACACAAAAACCCTCCACCATGAGAGAGTTGAAGATGTATATAAAAGGCTTAAGTGAGTGAGTTCAGTGTGTGCAGACAGCAGAGGGTACGCAAACTGTTGGTGAAACAGTAATTCAGTTTTATTGTTACTCTTGGCAACGAGGATTCTCAATAGATCAGTACCGTGCCAACAGTATAGGCTGAATGAAAGCTCGGCTGGAGTGCAGCTAACAGGCGTGCATGCATACGTAGGATCTGTGGTGAATGAGATCTTTTTTAGGCCTGCGTTCATCTCTCTGGACTCTGAGTTGACTCATGAATGCGGAGCAGCGAGGAGGGATGGCTCTAAATAAAGATTTCAGGTCAAAAACAGGAAATGGCTCAGTGAGCAGGGAGGGCAGGGCCATAGCAACACCAACTGGAGAGCTGCGCCCACAACATCCCTCCCTCCCTCCCTCCCTCTCTGCCTTCATCTATCTTTATTTATTTCTCCCTCGCTCTTCTTTTATTTCCCTCTCTGTGTAAAATCTGCCTGCTGCTCGTCTCTCTCGCCTTTTTGGCTGCTGCTTTTTCCCTTATTTTTCAGTCTCTGCCTCTGTCTTTGCGTCTCTTCTTCGGCACCTTTTTTCCTTTCTGCGCATTTACTTTTAAGGTCTGCAAAATCAAACCACAACTTACGAGCTAATTTATGTTTTCAAATAATAAATATACTGAACAAAATCATCAGAATTTCACAAAATAACGAGAAGAAGGTTGTGCTACAAATCATTCAAAAAACAGAAAACGCTCTGTCCTACTACAATTATGTTCTCTTTGTCTATGTGTGTGTGTGTGTGTGTCACTATCAGTGTGATCCTGACTCATGGTGAGTTCACTGGTCCTGCTCATCACTCCAGCTTTGTGCACGAGGCTACATGTTGCTCCCATCCGTCACGGCGCAAGCACCTTTGGGTGGTAACACGCAGGATTACGACCGTCACCAGAATACGTTCGGGGAGCATCACGTTCCATTTTTACTCGCTGTAACAACACGAGGGGAATTTCTTTTATGTCATCAAGGTCCAGAAATTCACACAGACACAAGCGCAGAAAAATGACACACACACACACACACACACACACACACACACACACACACACACACACACACACACACACACACACACAGCTAGAATAACTGATTCATACACACGTCTCTTTGTTACTCATCAGTTTAATTTACGTGAACTGATCACGTCCTTCTTTTACGTCTTTGTTGTTGTCATAAACAAGTCACTTCAATCTAACCAGCTGTTTGATCAAATATCTTCAGTAGCACATGGCTAGTGGTAGAACTGTAGTAAAACATCACTGTCACTTTCTCTGTTTCTACATGACTGACACCCACTGCAGCTACTATGATCACTACTGTGGAATAGAGAGCGACTTATAGGGGAGAATCGCTTACATGCGATCTCAGAACTCTTCAGGATAGATGACATAGCCTGTTGGACAGCCATGCATGTGGTGGGCGACATAACTAGGCCATCTGACGCCCCATTAAGTTTTCTTTTTAAAGATTGTTTTTTTTGGGGGGCGTTCTGTGCCTTTATTGTAGAGATAGGACGGTGGGTAGAGTCAGAAATCAGGGAGAGAGAGACTACCACTGAGCCACCAGCGCCCCTCATTAAGTTCACTTTTAATTGAACACATTTCCTTGCTACCTTAATCCCAACATATCTTTATCCCATCTTCATTTTGCAAATGTCTTAAACATCTGTGACTAACATCAACAAAAGTTCTTCCACTCAGCAGAAAATAGAGTTTGGACAACTAATTGAACAATTTTAATATTAGTTAAGATCCAATCTGCTTTTTGAAAGTTGTTTTTCTACTTTTATTTTTATTAACATAACATGTAAATAAAGGGTCTGAACTAAATGTTTCACATGCTGCCTTTTCAGATGAAGTCTGTTTGAATGCCAGCAGGTGATTCTGAGGGCACATATGAGGAATATGACTCCAGTGTTACATTACAGTGTGGAGACGAACTGACATATTACACTGAAAACAAGGACGTATGGGTATACATATACATGAAAAGTGTTATTATTTCAAACACATTAACAACACCTGTAGACAGGAGACAGTGGAGTGTGCAAGGTGCTGAGATAAGTATTGTGATGGATCAGGTTGCTGTGTGTAGAGTGTTTATGAAGGATGTGGACTGGCCTTCGATGTAGAGATAATTTAGAATATAATATAATCAAGTATCAAGTTCAAAGGTTGGCCCAACTCTCATCATCCAAATGTTCAAACTGCAAGTTTAATCCTCACCAACAACAGAGGACCCAAATGTCCCGAATGGCATAACTTTAATAACATCATTATGTTTGATAAATTGATTGATTGCATGTTTGGTGTGAGTTTCCCACGAGAGCTGCTGCTTGGCTTTAACATTGTTTGATTTTTAATTGTATCATCAGACAGCTTGTTAACTTCCCTTTTAAGTCCTTAGGTCTTGTCTGTCTTAATTGTAAATGTTCTGTAGTTTATGATGGCAATTCTGTGACAAGACTTCAATATGTTTCTTGTGATGCCACCCTCCTAAAGCGTTTCTGCTTCTACTGCTAATATTTCTTTAAAAAGGTAGATGATAGCTCGATGAAGATTTTGTGGATATTAAGAATATCTCAAACGCTCGTATGGTCCTAAACGATAGCATTCC